AATTTCAGGCCAATATCTCTGATGAAAATTTATGTGAAAATTCTCAATAAAATACTACAAACTGAATCCAGCAGCACATTAGAAAGGTTATCCATTCTTCATCCCTGGGATGCAAGGCTGGCTCAACATATGCAAATCAATAAACATAATCTGTCACATAAACAGAACCAATGACAAAAACCACATGATTATCTCAATAGGTGTAGAAAGATCTTTGATAAAATTCAACACCCCTTCATGCTAAAAACACTCAATAAACTAGGTATTGATGGAAAGTACCTCAAAATAATAAAAGCTATTTATGACAAAACCACAGCCAATATCATATTTAATGGGCAAAAGCTGGAGGCATTCCCTTTGAAAACTGGTACAAGACAAGAATGACCTCTCTCACCACTCCTATTCAACATAGTGCTAGAAATTCTGGCCAGGGCAATCAGGCATGATAAAGAAAAAAGGAGTATTCAAATTGGAAGAGAGAAAGTCAAATTGTCTCTGTTTTCAGATGACATGATTGTATATTTTGAAAACCCCATCGTCACAACCCCAAAACTCCTAACCTGGTAAACAAATTCAGCAAAGTCTCAGGATACAAAATCAATGTGCAAAAATCACAAGCATTCCTATACACCAATAACAGACAGAGAACCAAATCATGAGTGAACTCCTATTTACAACTGCTACAGAGAAAATAAAGTACCTAGGAATAAAACCTACAAGACATGTGAAGGATCTATTCAAAGAGAACTACAAACCTGTGCTCAAGGCAATAAGAGAGGACACAAACAAATGGAAAAACATTCCATGCTCATGGTTAGGAAGAATCAATGTTGTAAAACTGGCCATACTGCCCAAAGTAATTTATAGATTCAATGTCATTCCCATCAAGCTACCATTGACTCTTCACAGAATTAGAAAAAAACTACTTTAAATTTCATATGGAACCAAGAAAAAGCCTGTATAGCCAAGACAATTGTTAAGCAAAAAGAACAAAGCTGGAGGCATCACACTACCTGACTTCAAACTATACTACAAGGCTACAGTAACCCAAACAGCATGGTACTGGTACCAAAACAAATATATAGACCAAAGGAACAAAATAGAGGCCTCAGAAATAACACCACACATCTACAACCATCTGATCTTTGACAAACCTGACAAAAACAAGCAATGGGGAAAGGATTCCCTATTTAATAAATGGTGTCAGGAAAATGGACTAGCCGTATTTAGAAAACTCAAACTGGGCTGGGCTCGGTGGCTCAAGCCTGTAATCCCAGCACTTTGGGAGGCCAAGGTGGTTGGATCACGAGGTCAAGAGATCGAGACCATCCTGGTCAACATGGTGAAACCCCATCTCTACTAAAAATACAAAAAAATTAGCTGGGCATGGTGGCACGTGCCTGTAATCCCAGATACTCAGGAGGCTGAGGCAGGAGAATTGCCTGAAACCAGGAGGTGGAGGTTGCAGTGAGCTGAGATCGCGCCATTGCACTCCAGCCTGGGTAACAAGAGCGAAACTCCGTCTCAAAAAAAAAAAAAAAAAAAAAAAAGAAAACTCAAAAACTGGACCCCTTCCTTACACCTTATACAAAAATTAACTCAAGATGGATTAAAGACTTAAATGTAAGACCTAAAACCATAAAACCTCTAGAAGGAAACCTAGGCAATACCATTTAGGACATAGGCATGGGCAAGGACTTCATGACAAAAACACCAAAAGTAATGGCAATGAAAGTCAAAATCAACAGATGGGATCTAATTAATCTAAAGAACTTCTGCACAGCAAAAGAAACTGTCATCAGATTGAACAGGCAACCTATAGAATGGATGAAAATTTTTGCAATCTATTCATCTGACCAAGGACTAATATCCAGAATCTACATGGAACTTAAACAAATTTACAAGAAAAAAATAACAACCGCTTCCAAAAGTTGGTGAAGGATATGAACAGATATTTCTTAAAAGAAGGTATTTACACAGCAAACAAACATGAAAAAAAGCTCATCATCACTGCTCACTAGAGAAATGCAAATGAAAAACACAAAGAGATACCATCTTATGTCAGTTAGAATAATGATCATTAAAGTCAGGAAACAACAGATGCTGAAGAGGATGTGGAGAAATATGAACGCTTTTACACTGTTGATGGGAGTGTAAATTAGTTCAACCATTGTGGAATACAGTGTGGAGATTCCTCAAGGATCTAGAACCAGAAACACCATTTGACCCAGCAATCTCATTACTGGTATACACCCAAAGGATTATAAATCATTCTACTATAAAGACACATGCACACGTATGTTTATTGCAGCACTATTCACAATAGCAAAGACTTGGAACCAACCCAAACGCCCATCAATGACAGACTGGATAAAGAGAATGTGGAACACCATGGAATACTATGCAGTCATAAAAAGGAATGAGTTAATGTCCTTTGCAGAGACATAGATGAAGCTAGAAACCATCATTCTCAGCAAACTAACACAGAAACAGAAACCATACAATATACGTTCTCATTCATAAGTAGGAGTTGAACATTGAGAACGTATGGGCACGGGGAGGGGAACATCATACACTGGTTCCTGTCAGGGTGTGGGGAGCCAGGGGAGGGATAGCATTAGGAGAAATACCTAATGTAGACGATGGGTTGATGGGTGCAGCAAACCATCATGGCAGGTGTATACCTATGTAACAAACCTACTTGTTCTGCACATGCATCCGAGAACTTAAAGTATTAAAAAAAAAGTTTTCAATGAGGACAAGTATATTCAAAAACTTTGAGGCATGCAACACCACAATGGATCAGGGGCAGCAGACCTGGTCTCTGGATCCATCATGAATATGGGCTAACAGATTTAGGGGGTAAGGATTAAGAATGGTTATGGAATTCTGTATCCAGGAGGTACATTTACCATTTTATAGCAGGTGACAACAGGCAGACAACTAAAGGGACTTTTCATGGACATATGTGCCTATACTCCAGAGAATGCAGAAATATCTTGGGTGAGGTTGTCATTTGAGGTGTGAAACTATTCACAGCATCATGTCTTTATAGAAACAAGTGGTAATAACTAATCGGCCCATCATTGAAATTTAAGAGAATTAAGAGTGAGTGGCCTCTGTGTCTGCTGGAGACTTGCTCTTATGAAAACCTTAGAGGTCTGTGTTTTGTTTTCTAAGGAGGGTAGGGTGTTTCTTTTACATACATATCACATTATTTAATCCAGGGGAGCAGACATTATTCTTATCCCCATTTTACAGATCAGGAACGAGAAACTTGGTGAGATTAAGTTCTTTGTTCAAGGTTACATGGATTTGTTATTTGAGCCACCTTGATGCTCTTTTGCTCAAAATTCCAGCTACATATTTTTAAGACAATCAAACGGAAGGTGAACTTCCCTAGGGACTTGAAACAGTTTCAGTTGGTTAATGGTTCTACTTCAGGCAATCAATCAAGAAAAAAGGGAAATGATTCAAAGAATGAGGGAACTGGGACTCTTCTAAAGTTGCAGGTGAGGTCATCTGTGTTTGGATCAGAGATCTGTAATTTATAGAGATTCACATACATCTTTTTCAGATATGCATACGTTGGGGGCTGTGTAGAGTGTTGTGGAACTAAATGTATTTGTATGTGTTCAACACACTGTATAATTGACTCAATTATCCATGTGAAGATTATTCACATTTAATTTGCAATCTGGCTTCTCCTTTCGGTTAGGTTGTTCTTGGGCTGCTCCAGGAACGCTAATTTAAATAATAATTTAAGTAAAACATAATTAGAAAGGAAAATTAAATTCATTTTTTTTGCCAGCTCTTGAATATTTTACTGCTGAAATGTAACTAAACCATCCACTATCTTTTAATTCTCCAATGCCTCTTTAGTACCACAGGGTTTTATTGCATTTCATAGATTATTGCAATAGTTTCCAGGTAGCTCTCCTGTTTACCTCTTTCCATTCTAATCATCATTCTGCAGACAGCAGCCTTCAAAAAACCAACTCCCATTGCAAAATTTCTTTGCTTCAAAACATTTAATGAATAGAAAAAACATTTAATGGCTACCCAATTTCTCACCAGATTAAATGTCCATAACCACAACCAGTCATTAAAGGCTTTCTCTAGCCTAAATTCCTGTTCTTCAAATGTCATTCAAACCGTCCTTCTACTCCACTGCCCTGAAACACACCGCCTCCGCCCTTCACACCTCTACAGACCCAGTGCATTTGCCACGTGCCCCAGGAAGCTTTTCCTGATCTTACCTCTAATGCCTTTCACTGCTCCTACATCTGAATTCCTTTAACGCTCATGAATTTCTCAAAGGCAGACCAAGGTTATTTATGCAAACATGCTGGTCTCCCTGTCTTGGATGAGGTCCTTAACATCACTCACTGCAGGGATTCAACTCCCATACTCTGCAGTGGCAGACTCTAAAGAAGGGTGCAACAAATACTTGTTCATTTAGACTGCTGGCAAACCCTGAGAGCAGAAATTTTGGCCTTTTTTTTTTTTTTTAATCCCCAGTGGCTAGCACAGTGCTTGGTACACAGTGGGCGTTCATTCATTGAATGTTGATGAAGGAATTGAACGTACATACTACAAGCCCTGCAGATGCAAATACAGGAGGAGTTCACGGCACAATGCCTAGGGTGAAACTGGAGGCACCACCTCTCCTGAGAAGTGATGCTCCACTTCCTGGGTAGGCTGGGAGGCAGAGGGGGCGAAGCGCGCTCAACTGCCTGCCTCTTCGCAGGCTAAACGCTGGAAAACACACACACACACACACACACACACACACACACACACAGACACACAGACACACACACACACACACAGGCTAAACGCTAGAAAACACACACACACACACACACACACACAAACACACACACACACCCAACCAAGTATGTACACACGGGCTCATTTAAATCTGCCCTGTAAAAAAAAATACACACGCACACACGTGCACACACCGCCTAACCAAGTACGTACACACGGGCATACACATGCACACACACACAGAGCCACACATACATCATCTATCCAGGTCTGTACATAGACTTGCTTAAACCTGCCTTCGTAAATACACACACACACCACCTATCCAGGTATGTACATACATATATAATACAGAAACATAAAGACATATATATGCACAGACTTAACTCCAACACGACTGGAGTGTCGGGAGGACAACTGGGCCGCCGTCTCCGATCTCCAGGACTGCGGGACGCTCGCCTGGGCGGAAGAAGTCCTCCTAGACGCCTACAGAGGCCCCTGCGCGGCTTGGGCCTTCCGGCTTGCCGTCCGCCGCGGTCGTCATTGGCTGGGCTCGGCGCAGCTGACCGACGGCGGCAGTGCCAGAAAGCCGTGAGGATGGCGGTGCCGGCGGCGCTGATCCTGCGGGAGAGCCCCAGGTAGCTGACCCTGCGAGCTTCTGCTGTAGCCGCGGCCGGGAAGGCGCGGATAGGGCTCGCGCACGGCTGTCCTGGCTGCCTACCGCCTGGGCGCCGTGTGGGGCCCGGTCTTGGGGGGTGGGCTACCGAGGTCGCGGCGCGGGGTCCGCGGAGCGCGTGGGACCGTGCAGCCCCTCTGCGGTCACGGTGGTCCACGTGCGGGGCTCACAGTGCGCCTGGCAGCTGAGGTCTGTACGGAAGCCTGTGGTCTGCGTCACCGTTCGTGGGCTTGGGTGTCGGAAGTTCCCGGGCGCTGTCTTGAGTGCTGCCTCATTACGTGGAACGATATTCCGTTTCCGATTTCAGTTCTCGTTCAGACCACGTCGTGAGAAAGGCTCACGCTGGTGCTGGAAGGTCTTTAATAGCCAACACGTGTTAATACCCCTTTTAAATCAGGATCAAATAGGGCTCAGGCCCCGAATTTGTGGTTGGTAACAATATATAGCCTTAGCTTCGCTTTGGTAGCATTTGCTTTTGTTTCCATTTTTAATAAATTTTTGGTTAATTTCTACTTATGGTAAATAAAGTTGGTTGTCCTTGGTGGTGATGTAAAGTTCCCCTTTAACATTATTTAAATTAAAAAAAAAAACCTCAATTTGTGGAAAAAATAAGTAATAGTGCAGGTGGTGTGCGGATACAGAAAAAGAACTGAACTATATAGGCAAAATCGTGTTCAGAAGAAATTTCTTTGTGCTTGGATTGGGCAGAAATCTTCCAGAAGAAAAGAGTTGCTATTTTAAAGTTTTTCCTCTTTCCTGGATTCCTTCTGTTACCAGTGGAGGGTGTCCTGGTTCTTGCCGTCTTGAACAAAGAATTAGGGAAGACACGCAAACAAAGCGAGGAAAGAAAGAAGAAATTTATTGAAAATGAAACTACACTCCACAGTGTGGGAGTTGCCCGAGCATATGGGCTCTAGGGACCCTACAGAATTTGGGGGAGTTTACCCCCTGGAGGATTCCGTTGGTTACCTGGTGTACTCCCTAGGTAAATGAGGAGGATGAAGTAAATTTACAAAGTCATTTACTCCGCCTACACCCTATGGAGAGGATATTTCCTGTCATAGCTGAAGTATGAATCAGCTTTATGTTCCCAACCTCCAGACCCTATTTTCCTGCCTCACTTTGGTTCTGATCGCCAATTTATTTCCTCATACCAATGTCTTGGGGAACACTGCTGTATCAGTAAACTGTATCCAATATGGTGCAGTATAGAATTGTTCTTATCACATCATTTAAAGTTGATTATTACAGACCCAGGTGCTGTGGCTCCTGCCTATAATCCCAGCACTTTGGGAAGCCCTGGCGAGCTGATCTCTCTCTCTTTTTTTTTTTTTTTTTTTTTTTTTTAGACGGATTTTCCCCTCCTGTTGTCTGGGCTGGAGTGCATTGGTGCAATCTCACAATCTCAGCTCACTTGCAGCCTCTGCCTCCCCGGTTCAAGTGCTTCTTCTCCCTCAGCCTTTCAGTTAGCTGGAATTACAGGCACCTGCCACCACGCCTGACTAGTTTTTTTTTTTTTTTGTATTTTTAGTAAGTAAAAATGGGTTTCACCATGTTGGTCAGGCTGATCTCAAGCTCCTGACCTCAGGTGATCTGCCCGCCCCGGCCTTGCAAAGTGCTAGGATTACAGCCATGAGCCAGTGCAGGACTGATTGCTTGAGCTCAGGAGTTTGAGAGCGGCCTGGGTAGCAGGGCGAAACCCTCTCTCTACAAAAAAACAACAAAAAAAAATTAGCTGGCGCTGTAGTGTGTGCATGTAGTCCCAGCAACTTGGGAGGCTGAGGCCTGAGAATCCTTAGAACCCAGGAGGCAGAGGCTATAGCGAGCCGAGATTGCACCAGTGCACTCCAGCCTGGGCCACAGAGCCAAGATCCTATCTCAAAAATAAAGTTGATTATTACAATTAAAACAGTTTTTAAATAACTGTGTGCTTAGTGACCCCAAATGATTTTGTAAATAGTATATGCAGTATCCTTTACGTTTTTGGTGTGATTGCCTTAATTGCCATTCCTCTCCTCCTACCCATTTCAGAGTTCCATTTTTGGGTTAAGTGGCTTCGTAAACACTCTACTAAATTAATGCCCTTCCCCTGCAGAGTACAAGCTTTCCCTAGTAGTTTGGTTTGCCCAAAACAAAGAGAAAATTTGCCAAGTGGACCTTTTCAGCATAAGTAATTTTAGGGGTATCTTTTTGGAAACCTTCAGATTGCCCTGCCTTTTTTGCTAACTGTCGTCTCTTTTTCTTTATTTCACTCAGATTTACCATATAGCAATCAGAGTTGTTGGAGTGAAAACTTACAGACAGCTACAGATAGTTCAGCTTGGAAAACGCATTTAAAAACTGTTCTTATAATTTTCTTTAGCATGAAGAAAGCAGTGTCACTGATAAATGAGATAGATATAGGAAGATTTCCACGGTTGCTCACTCGGATTCTTCAAAAGCTTCATCTGAAGGTTTGTATTTTTGTGTTTCCATACCTTGTAATCTTCCTTCTGATTTAATTGAAAGTCTGATTATTTGGAGAACTTTTTGCAAAGTATAGTGTTCTCCAATATGTTTTTAAGGACACTGATTCTGTGGGAGATTTGGTAATGTTTCATGGTCAAAAGTTTGAGAAACTCTGTCTTCAATAAAGTTAGATTTTTTTAAATTATAGAACTTTTCAGAGTATGTATTTGAGGGTGATTACAGCATGTAACATTTTCCAGATGTGTTTGACCTTGAATCTGTTTTATTATGGTATATATTTTGGGACTAATGTTCTATAAGATATATTTTAGGGAAAAATTCTGATGTCTTGGTTTCATTTTTCCCCTGAAAAATAATTCTGCTATTTTCTATCAACTATTATTTAATCTTTCACTTAATTTTGTTACTCTTTCACTTTAATTTTAAAGGTATGGTTGTTTTGGACATGCGGATGCTTATTATTATCTCTACCTGGTTTAATCCAAGTTAATTTCTTTATTGGGCTGTAAAAATTTGATTCCATCAGACATATTTATGGAGCACCCACTAATTGCCCTTTGTAGTGCCAGGTATCAGCATCCAATGAGAACCACGACTCTACTCTTTCCTCTTCTTTTTCTTGGCCCCAAGAGTCAGCCTCAAAACCATGGCTTTTCCCTATGAAGTGTCTTTTCAAATCCAAGTTCTCACAATTGTAGTTCAAATCCTTGTTATTTGTTTTTTAGATGGCAGTAGTTCCCTTCAAGCTGGTTTCCCTGCCTATAGTTTTCTTCTGCTTCATCGTACTATGTAAATTACTTCCTAAATTTTTTTTTTTCCACAAAGATGGATTGTATTTTTAACAGTGTGCAAAGCCATCAGTGACTATTCATTGCCCCCCTGAGGAAAGCTTAAAATCCTTAACATTGTATACAAGTCCCATTATAATATGGCTGCAGTCTGCATTCTCCTCATGTTGTATTGTAATTGCTGCAGTTACACTAGATGGTGCCTGTTTACTACAACGTGCCATGAACTTTTTCAGCAGTGTGTCTATGCATAAACTCTTTATGTCCTTAGCCTATAAATGTCCTTCTTCCCTTCTTTACTGAGTAACCTGTTCATCTTTCAAGGATTTCACAGTCTCAGTCTCAGCAGTTTGTTCTTTCTTCTGTGCTCTTAATTCATTCTCACCTGATTTTAGTACTGCATCGTAAGTATTTGTTTCATGATTACAAGGCAACCAAATCCCTAAACCTATTAATCTATCTTCCTCTGGCTTTAAATATCTTGAGGATTATGTCTTACTCATCTTTATATTTCCCATTCCTAATAGATTGCTACTGGTATAGTTGGCACTCAATAGATACTCTTGGAGTTAATTATTTTCCTTGCCATGGGAAACACAAAACAAACATAGGTCTTCTGTAATATATTCCTATTTCTAAGGATTTTGTGGTACAGATGGACAGAAGGGAGGAACCACATGATAGCAGCAACATTCTGTGGTATTTACTATTCATAAAGTTACATTGCTTTCTTTTTGACTAGTGTGTACTAATGGCTTTGTGTTGTTAATTCATCCAATCCTTATGGCAGCTTGAAGAAGTAGGTACTGTGGTCATCTCTGGTCATTTTCATTTTATCTGTGAGGTAACCAAGATAGAGATCAGTTAAGTAATTTTCCAAAGGTCACACAGCTAGCTAGTAAGGCAGCTTGACTCCGTGATTCCATCATCCCTTATTACAAGAAACCTCAGGAAAGAGTATGGAACATTTCATAAATCAGCCCAAAAGTAAATGATGTGGGTGATACAGGTATTCTGCTTTGTTTCTTGAGCTGGTGGGTGCTTTCTTATGTGTAATAATATGGGACAAGAAACTCTTCTACACATCTTTTGTTCTTCATACTGAGAGAGAGTGGAACACATGCATGGAAAATTGTGATGTTTAGTTTGTCTTTGACTATCTCAGTCATGTCTGGAGTTGAGAGTAAGTTAGTATCTTAGAGTTCACTGAGTGGCTGAAGCATTGCATGGGAGAGCTTGAATGCTTTGTCATCAGAGGTAGGGGAGTGGAGAGGAAGAGAGGTGCTTGTTGAAAATTGAAGTTACTGGTCCTGCTGGCATCTAATGTCCAGGGACTTTTAAATAAAGAAACATATGTAGGTGAATACTAGCCTGCTAAGAAAATGTTCAGGAAAGGTGTAAATTGTTTTTTCCTGTACAGTTTCAGGGGATGATCTTCTAGACGGGCTTCTATTTTGAGAAGGGCTCTTCAGTCAGGTTTACAGTGAATTTCAGGATCTGCCAATTTTCTTTTCTGTACCCTGACTCCATCAAATTGGTCTTTGTCTTGAGACAGAATTCTTAGAATAGTGAAACCTGAGGCAGGCAAATGGATGAAGAGGTTTCGGGATTTTGTTGCTTCTGTACCAGTACTTTTATTTTGCCAAGTTTAATCTGTTTATGAGCAGAAGATATATTTTTGTCCAGACTGGTTCCTTGGAATCCTGAGTAGGAATCAACATGAGGGAACTAAGATAACTTAGGCATAGAATGTGAGCATATGCACCTGATTAATGATATGGGAGTCCTCTTTGAACTGACTGTCTTCCTGGCTCATCCGGGCATGTACAAATACATGAAGATTTTGTTTGTTTGTTACAATGTCTGGAGGGGGCTACTGGTATTTAATGTCCAGGGACTTTAAAAATATTTTGCATTATTTAGGGCAGTTCTGCACGAAGACTTGTCCCATCCAGCATGCCAACGGTTTGCATTGGGAAATGATGATGGAAGTCAGGTAAACTTCCTCCATAGCTTGGAACTTATAAATAAACATTTGTGACCTTTGCACTTTAAAAATAACTGTCACAACTCGTGTATTAAAACAACTCATGTACTTTGCTCCGTAGGAGACTTTGAGGCCCTCATACAAAGCCTGTTGAGGTAACTGTGCTGTATATCTAGTTCTGAGAGGTCAGCTCTCTGGGTTCCTGACCATGGCATATTAGAAATAGCAAACTGGGAAGGTGCTATCATGGGGCATGTAGGCAGCTTAAAGAAATATCTGCTGATCGTCAAATGAAATGGAATAATTATGAAAATCAGCCATAAGAAACATAAAAGCACAGAAGTCTGAGATTTCACTTTGCTGAAGTTAAAAGTCATCTATGTTTTAGCACAGGGATCTGTTGCTCAGAATTGTGACCTGAGTCACCACAAGATATTTGTTTAATCCAATTTATTTTGTTTATAAATGTCTAGAAATGAGCATCATTTTATAAATTTACTTGCATATCAATTTCTTTTCACCATGTATTTTCCTTTAAAGTTCTCATATATAATAAATGAATCTTCTATCAGATATGAATTTTGAATGCCTAAATATGTGCTAATATAATAAATAGATGGCTATTTGTGTTATAGACTGAGAGCAGTTTCAGTGAAGAAGAGGAAGAAAAACTTCAAGCAGCATTTTCTCTGGAGAAGCAAGATCTTCACCTAGTTCTTGAAACAATATCATTTATTTTAGAACAGGTATTTTTATTGCATCAAATTTTCTAACCATGGTTTGTTTACTACATATTTGTATTGTTATGATATCTGTAACATTCTGTTTTTTTTTTTTAATTAAAAAGCATACAAGATGGAAGCTGTGAATATGTTTTAGTTAAGAATTTTAATGTTAAAATATTTGAATATTATAAAGTATTTGAAAATATAAATAGAGACTTCATTGATTTGAGACACTTAAAAGATTTTAATTCATTGGTGCTTGGTGTAATTGGAAAAATGGACGTATTTTACTTAAGCTGTTAAATGATTTGGGGGCTGTACTGACTAGGATGTTAAGTAAGACATTTAGAAAAGAAATATTGTCATATTATGTGCTACTAAGCTGTCCTTCTGCATCCCTTTTTCTTTCTTTTTCTTTTTTCTTTTTTTTTTTTTTTTTGAGATGGAGTTTCGCTCTTGTTACCCAGGCTGGAGTGCAATGGCGTGATCTCGGCTCACCCAACCTCCGCCTCCTGGGTTCAGGCAATTCTCCTGCCTCAGCCTCCTGAGTAGCTGGGATTACAGGCATGCACCACCATGTCCAGCTAATTTTTTGTATTTTGAGTAGAGACGAGGTTTCACCATGTTGACCAGGATGGTCTCCATCTCTTGACCTCGTGAGCTACCCGCCTCGGCCTCCCAAAATGCTGGCATTACAGGCGTGAGCCACCGCGCCTGGCGCATCCCTTTTTCTTATCTAAATTCACTTCATTATTTAAGCTCCTATTCAAGGTTCATCTTCTATACTTCAGCTGTGACCCTTTATGCTTTCAGTCTGCCTTTATTTGAATTTTTAAAAATTCTTGGTTCATCACAGTAGAGCACATTGTTAGTCTTTCAATATTTCATATATATTAGTTATGTCTTCTTCACTAGATTCTAATTTGCGGGGGGGCAGGATCATATTTTTTTGTGTATCTTATGTAAGTCTACCACATTGGTAGGTTTAAAATAGATCCTCATAAATTCCTGTTGGTTGATTAAAAATAATACTTATGAAATTTTAAATAGTTTTGTAGCTTAATGAGCATTTTAATGAACATATTAGGAGGACAAGCTGCCAGGCTTCTACTACAGCCTTGTACACATTATAGATCACAAAGATTAATGTGATTCTAATTTTTGGTGGGTTTTTAGTAGAAGAAAAGAATCATTGAGTAGGACAGCATAGCATGGTGCTTCAGAATAATGTAAGAATTGGAACAGGTATCACTGTTACAATTTTTTACAACTTTTAGTTATATATTACCTAGAAAGTTAGTAGATAAGGTAGTTTCGAGAAAGTTCTTCTTGGAAAAATTTGTTAGTTGGGAAACAAAACTGTTGTATACTTATTTGAAATGATTAAGTGAAATTTTAATTAGGATACCATTTACATAGCTAAAGCAAAGAAGAAGATTTTTGGTTATTAAGTGGATTTAGGATTACTTAAAGCACAGGTAAAAATGAAAAAAAAAAAAAAAATTCAGCCTGAATAATGTATAGGCCATTTAATCCTGACTCTTCCAGCCCTTGGTTATGTGTTTTATTATATGTAAAATAACCCAAAAATGTCTGTAATAGGACTATGAAGTATTCTTTTGACTTAAGTAATTTAAAAATAATTTTGTATTTATTATACTTTAGGGTTTCTGTATGAAGATGACGGACATAAATAATTTTTTTTTCTTTTTAATAGGCAGTATACCATAATGTGAAGCCAGCCGCTTTGCAGCAGCAATTAGAGAACATTCACCTTAGACAAGACAAAGCTGAAGCATTTGTCAATACGTGGTCCACTATGGGTCAAGAAACAGTTGAAAAGTTCAGGCAGAGAATTCTGGCTCCCTATAAGGTATAGAACATGCTATCTTAAATATGTTTTTCAGTAATGTTTGGCATAAATTATTATACCTGAAGAGTTTTTAAAGTGATTTTTTTGAATGGTATTTAAAGTATTTTGTTGAGAGGTAGAGTCAGGCAAAAGAAACACAGATGCTCCTCAATTTATAATGACCTTACATCCTGATAAACCTGTCGCAAATTGAAAATATCCTAAGTCAAAAACATAGTACACTGTAGAGAATCAATTGTTTACCCTTGTGATCACATGGCTGACTGGAAGCTATAGCTTGCTGCCATTGCCCAGCATCATGAGAGAATATTGTACATACTGTTAGCCTAGGAAGATACAGAATTCAAAATATGAAGTATAGTTTCTACTGAATGTATATTACTTTCATACCATTGTAAAGTCAAAATATTGTCCCTGACTTATGTTTTGATTTTATAGTGGTGTGAAACTATTGCAATTTCGACATACTTTTACTTTTCGTCTCCTCCTGGGCTAGTGATATGTGGTATGTAAGATATTCCTATTTGGGAGGCTTTTCAAGATGGCTGTCTAGAGGCACAGGACACTTCACAAAGAAGAACCAAAATAGTGAGTAGGTAACCACACTTCAAATAAAGCATCTAAAAGAGAATGCTAGTGTTCAGCAGAGAAGTGGCTGGAAACACCTGAGGAGAGGGAGGAGAGGTGGACAGCCTTGCTAGGATCAACCAGAAGCCTGGAGAGGCTCCCCAGTGCAGAGTTGGGGTAACTGAGAGATCCCTAACTGTCCACATTCTTGCTGCAGACTCCTGTAATCCTAACCATGGGAGAGTTCTTGACCCCCATGAACCCCAAGACTGGCATAGGGAGCTCCACCAAGTTCATGCAATGGCATTGCTCTAGAAAGGGTGCTCTTTCTGGGTTCCTTGCACCCCACTGAGTCTTAGGCAGCTGCAGCACGGCTACATTTTAAGAGTCTAGTCCTTGTCAGAAACAGAATAATCTTAAAATTTGTATAAAACCAAAAAGGAACCCAAATAGCCAAAGCAATCCTAAGCAAAAAGAACAAAGCTGGAGGCATCATATTCCCTGACTTCATGGGAATAGCATGGTGTTGGTGTAAAAGCAGATACATGTAGCAATGGAACAATATAAAATACCCAGAAGTAAACCCATGTATTTATAGCCAACTGATTTATTGCAAAGGTGCCAAGAGCATACACTGGGGAAAGGACACCCCCCTTTTAATAAATGGTACTAGGGAAACTGGATAAATATGCAGAAGAATGAAATGACCCTTCTCTCTCACCATATAAAAAATCAACTCAAAATGGGTTAAACACTTAAACATAAGACCCACAACTATTAAAATACTAGAAGAAAACAGGAGAAACATTCCAGGACATTTGTCTAGGCAAAAATTTCATTGCTGACATTCCTAAAACATGGACAAAAACTCCCCAAGGTAGATACATGGAACTATATTAAACTAAAAATCTTTTGTATATTAGAGGAGACAACAGAGTGAAGAGACAACTTGTGAAATGGGAGAAAACATTTGCAAACTATTCACTTAATAAGTAAATAATATCCAGAACATACAAGGAACTTAAACACCTCAACAGCAAAGTAACTAATCCCATTAAAATGTGGACAAAGGATCTAAACAGATGCTTCTTGAAAGATGATATATAAATGGCTAACAGGTATGTGAAAAAATGCTTAACATCACTAATTATCAGGGAAATGCAAATTAAAACCAAAGATGCAATATCATCTTACTGCAGTTAGAATGGCTGTTATTAAAAAGAGAAAAAATTAACAGATGATAGTGAGGCTGTGGAGAAACGGGAACTCATATGATTTTGGTGGCAGTGTAAATTAGTATAACCATTTGGGAAAAGCAGTATGGAGATTTCTCAAAAAACTAAAAATAGAACTACCACACAGCCCAGTAATTCCACTACTTGGTATATATTCAAAGGTAAGGAAATAAGTATATCAAAGAAATATTTGTACCCCTGTGTTTATTGCAACGCTGTTCACAATAACAAAGATAAGAAATCAACCTAAGTGTCAATCAGTGGATGAATGAAGAAAATTTGATATAATTACACACTGGAATAATAACCATAGAAGAGAATGAAATGTTGTTTCCAGCAACATGGATAGAACTAGAGGTCATTATGTTAAGTGAAATAAGCTAGACACAGACAGATATAACATGCACTCACTCCTATGTGGAAACTAAACAAGTTAATGTCATGGAGGTAGAGAGTAGAATGGTAGTCACCAGAGACTGAGAAGGATGTAGGTATGTGCATGGGCTGTGAGGTCAGAGGGTAGATGAATAGAAGTTGGTTAATGAGTACAAACATATGGTTAGAAGTAGTAAGTTTAATGTTTGATGGTTTAGTATGGTGCTTATAGTTGACATCAACGTATTGGTCATTTCAAAATAGCTAGAAGTAAGGAATTGAAATGTTCTGAACATACACAAATGTTAAATGCTCCTGGTGGTGAATATCTTAAATACCCTGACCTGATCATTACATAATCTATGCATATAAGAAAATATCACACATATCTCATAAATATGTGCAAATATCATGTATTCATACAAAATAGGCTTTGTGTTAGATGATTTTGCTTAACTGTAGGCTAATGTAAGTATACTGTACATGTCTATGGTCGGCTAGGCTAAGCCGTGATGTTTGGTAGATTAAATATATAAAATGCATTCATGAATTATTATATTTTAACTTACGATAGATTAATTGGGGCATAACCCCATTGTAAGTCAAGGAGCACCTGTATATTCTCTAGAAGTCCTTTGTGAGATGTATGATTTGCAAATATTTTCTCCTGTATCCTTCCTTTTCATTCTTTTAACACTGTCTTTCCCAGAACAAAACCATTAAATTTGGTGAAATCTGTTTTATTTCTTTTTTCTCTTTTCATGATCCTACTTTTGATTTTCTGTCTGACTTTGTAGCCTAATCCGTAACATAAATATTTTCTCTTCTGTTTTCTTCCAAATGTTTTACATATTTACATTTTATGTTTAGATCTAAAATCCATATAAAGTTAATTTTGTGTGATAGTGCAAGTCAAAGTTCTTTTTGTCTATGTATGGATGTTCATTTGCTCCAGTGTGACTTGTTGTTAAAATTATCCTTTTCTCATGGAATTACCATGTGTTTGTCTAAAATCATTTGATATTTTTGTGTGAGTCTTTTTCTGGATTCTCTCTTTGATTTTATTGACCTGTGTGTCTATGCTAGTATCACACTGCCTTCATTATTATAGCTTAACAGTAAGTCTTAAAATCAGGTATTATGAGCCCACTGACCTTTTTCTTCTTTTTTAATAATTCTTTTGGCAATCTTAGTTTCTTTACCTTTTTGTATACATTTGAAAATCAACTTTTGTATGTCTGTAAAAAATCCTGCTGGGGTATTGATGGGTAATATGTTTAATTTGTAGATAACTTCATTGAGAAATGACTTCTTAACAAGTATTGAGTATATCTCTTCTTTTATCTAGGTCTTCTTTGATTTCTTTTACCAGTATCTTTTGTTTTCAGCATACCAATCCTGTACATACTTTGTTAGGTTTGGACCTTAAGTATTTTTTTTCTTTTTTTTTTTCATTGTTGAGCTCTTGGTACTATTTTTCAAATTTTGTTTTTCAATGGCTTATTGCTAGTATATAGAAATACAATAGATTTTTCTGTACTGACCTCTTCCTATACTTTCCTATAACCTTGGTAATTCACTAATTAGTTTTGGCAGCTTTCTTATAGGTTTCTTGTGATTTCCTTTGTAGATAGTCACATTGTCTGTGAATAAAGACAGTTTTATTTCTTGCTTTTCAATCTGTGCAGCTTTTATTTTTCTTGCTTTATTTTACTGACTAGGACTTTCAATATGATGCTTAATAGGAGTGGTAAGTCTGAATATTCTTGCCTGTTCCCAACTTTAGGGTGAAAGCATTCAGGCTCTTGTCATTACGTATGATGTTAGAAGATGTCCCTTTATTGTTTTTGCTTCTTTACTTCCCTTTTTAAAAAATTCTGTATTCTTCTCTCAAGTGTCTTCCGCGTCATTATTTCCTTTTTTATTATTTTTAATTCTGTTTTTTCCTGTAGCCTGTACAGATTTTAAGTTTTCCATTTGTTTCCCTGCAATTCTTTTTAAAGCCATTTTCATTAAAAAAAAAATCTTGCTTTTTAATAGTAACCTGTTCTCTATTTATATTTTTCCTACAATTTATAGGGTCCATTTGTTTCCTTGCACATTAGTAGTCATAACAGTTAAAAATATTTTTGTTTTCTCCCTCTAATAGTAAGGTACTTTTTAGTGTCTTCATGATGAAAGTTTGTATTTTAAAGTAATATTTTCCCCAGAGTTGTATTACATAAGCTTCTGTTTAAGAAATAATCATTTGCTATATAAAATATGCAAATAAAGACCTAATTAATTATACATTGTTCCATTGAGAATGCTGGAAATTATCTTTTTGTAATTCTAGGTATATCAGAGGATAGCTACTATACTATTTGAAAGTCTGAAATGCTTAAATAAGATAATATAATAACAAACGTTGTATTTTGTATTGTGCAACTTTGCTAAATTCATTTATTGGATCTAAGATTTTTCATGAATCTTTAGGTTTCCTTAGATATAAGACCATATCTTTAACAAACAGGAATAACTTTTTTGTTCCAATTTAGAAGCCTTTTATCTCTTGCTTGATGGCTGTGGCTAGAACTTCCAGTACTATGTTAAATACGAGTAGGGAAAATGGGCATCCTGTTCTTGTCCAGGGTTTTGGAGGAAATGTTTTCAGCTTTTCCCTGTTACGTATGATGTTGGCTGTAGGCTTGTCATATATGACATTTATGATTTTGATGCATATTTCTTCTATGCCCTGTTTGTTGAGAGTTTGTATCATGAAGGGAAACTGAATTTTATCAAATGCTATTTTCAGTCCATTGGTTAGATCATATAGTTTTTCTC